AAGTCAGGCTGGTTTTAAGGAAAATTTATATCGTTATTTTCTTATTTATATATAAGAGATTTATATTTGTATGTATAGGTCAATCTCTGATTTTAGAAATTTGAAAGATGAATTATTATTTTTGAAAAGGTCCAAAGATAAAATCTGAAATCTGAATTTTTCCCATATAATTTTCCAGGTTCAGGTTAATTACCAGTATTCTCACTACGTGCGTGTGCTCGGTGACTCGGTCGCACATATTCAAAAGTTTGTAAATGACAGAAAAAGGTCATCCACAAAAGGCGTCTCTATTTTGTGGCTTTCAATCATTTCTTAGTGCCGTAGACTCCGAGTTGGTTCCTCTCTCTCTCTAGCGGCCTTTTTCTTGATCAAAATCTCTGTAAGCTTTATCCGTTTTTTGTTTAGTTATAATGTCAAAACCTAGGTCCGANCTGTAAGCTTTATCCGTTTTTTGTTTAATTATAATGTCAAAACCTAGGTCCGAATGTTTAATCCACACTCCGTGTACATTCACTCGTTTACACAATGCGGCTTACAAATGTACGTCTTTATATGTATTCGTATACGTGATAAGTGTTATTTTCAATGTTGGTTTTGTGTTGCGCATTTTTTATTCCTTGATTTATAAGGGGAATGTGGTGATTTTCCTTGCATTTCTGATCTGAAAATGGAATTGGCTTCCTTTTTGATTAATTGGAATGTCATTGAATTTTCGCATTAGGGTTTGTATGCCTTTATCCCCTTTCGGTATCATGTGTGCGGTTTTGTATGTATGGGCGGGTTTGAGGGAGGAAAATGGTTTTGCATGTGTGAATGTGGTTTTAATTTGTTGAGTAAATGGATTTTTTTTGGTTCGTTTCAGTTTTTTTGAAGGGTTAAAAAGGCAATGATGAGCAAAGAAGAGAAGAGGTGTCCACTTTGTGCAGATGAGATGGATTGGACGGATCAGCAACTGAAGCCTTGCAAATGTGGTTATCAGGTTTGATTATTTTTACATTACCAGTATATTTAGTGGAATCTTGTTGGTGTTCTCCATGACATTGAGCGATTTAAGATAGAAAGCATTATTCAATGCGTGGGAAGAATTATTCTCTTCCTTCTTGATTAGTTTTTTCGATCTTGTATTATATGATTGTACAGTATGTTTGGTAACTGGGGTTTTAGAATTAGTTTATGGTTTTAACCTCATCATTTACCTTTTAAATCTTTTGCTCTTTGTTTACACTGCTATTTGCAAATTGATCATCACATAACAATAGAACAATCTTCTTACGATACCTACAAAACATATATATATTATCCCGACCTATGTAGTGACATTTACATCATAGCACCATGATTACCCCAAAGTGCATGACAATCGTCAATCTCTATCACATTACACACAATCTCGTCTATATATTACTTTTCAATAAAAGTGAAATTTTTTATATCTCCATATTTTGAATTTGTTGCTCCCTTTTAGCCGGTTTGATATCGCTAAAAAATTTGATTAAAATCTAAGTGAAAGTCAACAATTAATTAAAAATCACACATTTCAAAGGACCTAGAACTTTTCAACCACACATTCTATCAACTTTTATCAAAATCTGCTAAAAATCTAATTTTAATCTCTACAAGACAAGGGCTTAATTATTGGAACTTGATGTCATCTTCAAATTTGAAGCTTTTAGCAATGTTTTGGATACCATGTTTTTACTATTCTCATAATGTATTATCACGTTGTATACTTGTTTGTTGAGAGTGCATCATGTTCAAAAAATTCTGTCGCGCTTCGAAATGGGCTTCCTTATGTCTCCCTGTTAGACCTTCATGGAATTCTTGATAGCTTGTGAGTATTCAAACACCGTTGAGACTCGAGGAAATTCTCTAGTCACTTGTTGCCGTGTTCTAAGTTTGTTGTGAAAAAACCCAACATTCATAGCAGTCAAAGTTTGCAAATTCTTGTCTACTATGTCTTCGAGCACAACCATCATTCTTTCCAGATTCTGGATCAAGGTTGATAATTTTGCAATCCTCGGATAATCATGGCGAGGATGAGTACCACTAAATAAGACATAAGAAGAAAAAGAGATAAGCCAATTCTATTTGGAATAGGATTGTCCTACATTGTGTTTGAAAATTGAAACTATATGCATGTTGAAAAATATTTTATCACATTTATATTTGCTACCCCCTCTCCCACGTGTTATGCCTGAGAACATGTTTATCATTTAACTTTTACTTGTATGACTAACAACATTACAACACATCTCTTTTGGATAACCTCAAAAGTGCAATCTCGTTTTAGTGTATTGTTAAGCATGTTTTTGTAATCACTACAGGTGTGTGTTTGGTGTTGGCATCACATCATAGACATGGCAGAAAAAGAAGAGACTGAGGGACGATGTCCTGCATGCCGGACAATTTATGAGAAGGAAAAAATTGTGGGAATGCAAGCAAATTGTGAAAGGTTGGTTTTCTTTTGTAATTTGTGTATTATTCTCTGATGCATGACGAAGAGAGCTAGACATTTAAGCATTTTATTTTATTATATTGGTTATTTCCAAATGTAAGATGCAGAGAGCTAAATGCTAATTAGTTAGATATTTTACTTTGTTTTATTTCATATAGGGTGGGGAATAAAAATGCTAGTCGGAAAACCAAGCCACCTAAGGCCAAGCCAAAGATTAATGAAGTCAAGAAGGATCTTACAAATGTTAGAGTGATTCAGCGGAAAATGGCTTATGTGATTGGTCTACCTCTTAGTCTTGCTGATGAAGATGTAGAGAGCTCATTTTTACTTTCTTTTGTATTTCTAGAACCTCTGTTTCCGGCTTTCTACAGGAGTAGTTTGTATGTCTTGTTGATGGTTCTAAGTTTTAACTGATTACTACTTTCTACAGTCTCTAAAGAAAGTATTTCCTGTTTTAACAGCTATTACTGCAGAAGGAGTATTTTGGCCAGTATGGAACAATTACTAAAGTCTCTCTCTCGCGGAATGCTAGTGGGGCCATTCAGCAATTTATCAATGACACTTGTAGCGTGTGAGTTTACAAGCTGTCAATTAAGTATCTCTGTCTTGTATCGAATTAATGTTAATTTTTTGTAATCAAAATCAAGTTACTCTGCGATTTAAAGGTGGTTGCTCCTTATTTATTGTGCCTCTTATACTCTTCTACTTTGATTGACTTGATCTAAATACTTACTACACGAGTAACTATATTTATACGTAAAAAAATGCGAGATTTTCAAGGAATGCCAAACAGATGAGAGTTTGTAAAATGCTTGAGCACTGAACTGAAGTACAATTGATGGATGAAGGGGATAAATAGTTTGCTCATGTAGCATTTTTGAGTAAGTTTGATGCCTTCTTCTGGTCCTAGAGATTGGGAACATGATCCTGTGCTGCAGTGTCTTGGTCCATAATTTGGCTGTTGCCTTTGTGTGATTATTACCCAGTTAACACGAAATTGCTATCACGTTGAAGATTCTTTACCAGAATCTGAAATATGAACTTCTAAGATTAGCAATCAGTGTGAAACTGTGAATTTGGACTAAATTGGAACCAAGAATATGTTTATTAAACGAATGGAAAGGGCCTACTAGTGTTTTTTCAAATTGATAAATTCTAAGATATATTAGCGGTAACTGTGCAAAATGGATAGAATTGTTTATGGGGAGAATGATACCATGTTATGTTAGCCATATAATGCTTGTTGTTTTGTAGGAAACTCAATTTATAATTAGGACTCAGTGGTTTGTTGTCCTGCATCCACTTGCTTCTCTCTCTCCCTCCCTCCTTCCCTCCCTCTCCCTCTCTCCCTATCCCAAAAGTGTGAGACTGCAACTAGTGTATTGTGACATGAATGTGAGCGAGTGTATACCTGTAACAGATCAAGGCAGACGCAGGAGGTGTTCCAATTGTAGATCCCCAAATTCATGGTAATTTTTGTTAGGAAGGCTAATAGGTTATACATCTTTCTTGATGTCAAGTCAATTTATATGGCATAAGTAATGGACAAATATGAATGGTGATAGTGAACGAGTTGCTTTAATCATGTATGTGTTATTTTATTTTTCACTTTAAATTTCCGCATTAGGATTTTGGTGCTTATTGCGCGACGTTTTGTATTGCTGAACAAGGATTTATAAATTTTCTATGTAGAATTTGTTAATCAGCCCATGTGACGTGTTCTTTCCTTTCATTTACTCTTATATTGTGTCTTCTTCCAGATACATAACATATTCAAAAGAGGAGGAGGCCTTGATGTGTATTCAATCAGTACATGGTTTTGTCCTTGAAGGTAGGGATTTGAGGTAAGCACACACCCCGTTACTCAATATGGTCAAACGACATGCTATTGTAAATGTTTTCGAAAAAGTAAGGATTTGAACATTACTTGTGCAGAGCATCCTTTGGTACTGCAAAATATTGTCATGCTTGGCTGAAAAACATGGTATAGATATATTATCCTTTGTGTTTGCTTCCTTTACACAATATATTTATTTGAGAAACCGTGCTAGAAGTATTTTCTCTCAGAATTTGAGTTGACAAATTGCTGACAGTTGTTTTCTTGTTCCAGCCTTGCAATAATCCTTCGTGTCTGTATTTGCATAGTATTGGGGACGAAAAAGATAGTTTTGGAAAAGATGAGATTGCTGCAGTCCATACAAGGTTTCACATGGTCAATTTTATTTTCATTCTTTTGACTTCCAATTTCATGCTTGTGAAGTTTTCTGTTTTTCAAAAATGATGCTTAACTGGCCTACTTCACTATGATTGAAGTGCATATAATATTTCAAGCAAGCTGTTTTAGTTAAGTAGCCTGTGATTAAATCAGAGAAAAGAAATGGTGATACATAGATAACAAATAGGAGTCGCTAGCTTGGAAAGAAATCACCGTCCTATGAATCGAATATGACATCCGACAACTGGTTAATCATGTAACTAAACTGACCGAGGTGAATTTTTTTGAGCTAGAGCATCCATTTTTAGATTTTCCATGTATATTCACGAGTTTCAGATGGGAATTCTAGAAGATATATTATATGGAAGAGTTTTCAAATAGGATACGTAATTAGGGTTTTAGAATCTATTATATTTTAATAGATTATTTAGTATTTTGTTATTGAGAAAGAAGAAGGGAGCAGGGACGGAGCAGGGGAATTAATTCTGGCTTGTGTAGGGTTGTTACATTGCTGTTGGTTGTTATTTTTGAGTCTTTATTTTGATATTGTGAGTCAGGGTCAGTTTGGTCATTTTAGTCAGGGAAGGGGGGGAATAAATGTAAATTGGGAAATTAGAAACCATTCATTCAGAAACATCTAGAATCGGTAGGAGAGCACCTGGGTCTCTCGAATTGCCCAGGACTTCAGTTCATTTCTTTTCCATTTTCAGTGAATAACAATTACATTTCTAAGCTTATATTCTCTGTCCTACTAACAATTTACAGTTACATAGCTGAGTACTGAGACTCCTTGCTTTCTAGAGCTAATTCTAGCTCTATTGACATTCACAGAACTATTTTGCAGCCTCAATCCGTGGTTGAGCAGACAACAGGCAGGTGTGGATTTCTTCATTTTGGCAGCTCACTCGGCCAATACATCAGGTACCTATCAATTTGGTATCAGAGCATCACCTGGGAAACATGAAATTGACGGATCGCGTTGACAGTTTGGAGGGAAAAATCGAAGGAGTTCAGCAGGACCTACAACGGGACATGAATGTATTGATGGAAAAAATGGATGTGATGATGAATAAATGGGTGGAACAGGAAAAAAGAGAGAAGGAAAGAGCAGAAGTTCCCCTCGATTCCGACGAGCCTCCTAAACCCCCGTCGAAGGAAGACGAAGGAGGCAACAACCAAGGGGAAGGAAGTAGAGAGCGTGAGGAACTAACGCGAACAGAAAATCGCATAAGAAGGTTGGAGATGCCAGTGTTCGATGGTGAGAACCCGGACGGATGGATTTTCAGGGCGGAGCGATATTTCACTATGAATCGATTCGCCAACTGGGAGAAGGTGGAAGCGGCTGCTGTTTGTTTCGAAGGGGAGGCATTGGCATGGTATCAATGGGAGGACAGTAGACAGCCAGTGCGAAGGTGGGAGGATTTGAAATCGTTATTGTTGGAACGATTTCGACCATCTCAAGAGGGAACGAATCTGGAAAAATTCCTGGCGTTGCGGCAAGAGGGATCCGTTCGCGATTACCGGCGACGATTTGAGGTGCTCGCCACGCCGTTGATGACTGTCAGTGAGGAAGTATTGGAGAGTAATTTCCTCAATGGGCTGAAACCCCTGATCAGGGCTGAAGTAAGGATGCTAAAGCCACGTGGGCTGGACCATATAATGGAATTGGCCCAACGGGTTGAGGAGAGAAATGATATTTTGCAGCAGGCCCAAATTCCATCAGGCCCAATTAGAGGGAGGACTAATGCTACTGGCCAGGTTTCTTATTTTAGCCCATTTAAACCCTCTTCTATTATGTCGAACCATAACCCACCGAATTTCCACACTCCTCCTGTCACTTCGAACTCACCCAAGCCCTCGATGGTGGTGCGAGGGGGGACAAACGCCAAGGCAGTGGCTCCGTTCAAGAGACTCACGGATGCCGAACTGCAGCTGAAGAAGGAGAGAGGATTATGTTATCGCTGTGATGAAAAATTTGGGCCGGGTCACCGTTGTAAAAACAGGGAACTCCAGATATTGTTGGTACAAGAGCTCGGCGAAGAGGAGGTGGATGACGTATTGAAAGAGGACGAAGGAATTAAAGGAGAGGACGTGGTGGAGTTGTCACTTAATTCGGTAGTGGGGTTGAGCACTCCCAAAACCATGAAATTAAACGGGTCCATTTTGGGGCATCCTGTGGTAGTGTTGATCGATTGTGGAGCTACCCACAATTTTATTGCGGCAGAATTGGCAAATCAGCTGAGCCTACCCACCACTACTACGATGGGTTACGGGGTAACCATAGGAAATGGAAGGTCAGTAAAAGGGGAGGGCATTTGTAAAGGGGTACTCCTCTCTTTGCCTGGGATTGATGTAATAGAAGATTTTCTTCCATTTCAATTGGGCTGTACTGATGTAATTCTGGGAATGAAGTGGCTAGGCACTCTGGGAAAAATGCAAGTGAATTGGGGCAGTTTAACGATGAAATTTCAAGTAGGTGAGGAGACCATTTGCCTGCAAGGGGATTCGAGTTTGCAGAAGACGCAGGTATCTATTAAATCTATGGTTAAATCTTTCACGGAGGGTGATCAGGGGATTTTGCTAGAGTTGAATAATTTGGAATTGGAGGCAAATCAAAGCGGGGCTGAGATTCCGTTTTTAATCAAAGAGGTGCTTCGGCGATACAACAGGGTTTTTGAGTGGCCAAATATATTACCCCCCCACCGAGGTCGTGATCATGCTATTGTACTACAGGCTGGATCGGCCCCCGTGAATGTCAGGCCGTTTCGCTACCCACATTTTAAGAAAAATGAGATTGAGCGGCTGGTTCGAGAAATGTTGACCGCAGGGATTATTCAGCTGAGTTGTAGCCCTTTTTCAAGCCCCGTATTGTTGGTGAAAAAGAAGGATGGGAGTTGGAGGTTTTGTGTGGATTATCGAGCACTCAATAAAATTACAATTCCGGACCGTTTCCCGATTCCAGTGATAGATGAGTTGTTGGATGAATTGTATGGGGCAGTAATTTTTTCTAAGCTGGACTTGAAGTCGGGGTATCATCAGATTCGGATGAGGGCGGAAGATGTGCCAAAGACTGCATTTAGAACTCACGAAGGACATTATGAATTTTTGGTTATGCCCTTCGGGTTAACTAACGCGCCGGCTACATTTCAGGGTCTGATGAATGAAGTGTTTGGGCCATATCTTAGAAAATTTGTTCTGGTGTTCTTTGACGACATACTGGTTTATAGTGCTTCACTGGAGGACCACCTTCACCATTTAGAGGTGGTATTGGGATGTTTACAGAAACACCAGTTGTTTGCCAACGAAAAAAAATGCACCTTTGGGCAACCGCAATTGGAATATTTGGGGCACATCATATCTAGTGAGGGGGTGGCTGCGGATATGTCTAAGATTGAGGCAATGTGTAATTGGCCTAGACCTCGAAATCTGAAGGAGTTACGTGGATTCTTGGGTCTCACCGGGTATTATCGCCGATTTGTGGCTGGTTATGCTAAGATCGCATGGCCATTGACAGAACTTCTTAAGAAAGATGGATTCGCCTGGGGTGAAAAAGCAGAGGCAGCTTTTAGTGAATTGAAAACAGCAATGACTCAAGTTCCGGTGTTAGCATTGCCCAATTTCTCCCAGTCTTTTGTGGTAGAAACGGATGCGTCAGGCCATGGTGTAGGGGCGGTTTTGATGCAAAATCACCACCCCATCGCATATTTCAGTCAATTGTTACCAAGAACTGCTCGACAAAAGTCAGTCTATGAGCGCGAGTTGATGGCCATAGTGTTCGCTATACAAAAATGGCGTCATTACTTGTTGGGTCGCCATTTTGTAGTCCGGACTGACCAAAGGAGTCTAAAGTTTCTTCTTGAGCAGCGCCTGGTTAGTGAGGATCATCAAAAGTGGGTCACTAAGTTGCTTGGCTTTGATTTTGAAATTCAGTACCGTGCGGGCAAGGATAATCGAGCAGCAGATGCCTTATCTAGAGTCCAACCGACTTTACAGGCCTTGACTTTATCTACGCACAGAGTGTTGCAGCTGGAAGAAATTAGGGAGGCCGTGGCAAAGGACGAGGAACTGGGAAAAATATTGGCCTGTCTAAAATCGGGTACTGGGACGAAACCGGGTTATTCTCTGTTGGGGGATAATTTGTGCTACAAGGGTAGGTTAGTACTTCCCCAATATTCTCAATTCCTGGAGCTCATGTTGAAGGAATATCACGATTCTAGTGTCGGTGGACACTCTGGATTTCTTAAAACATACCGAAGAGTAGCTCGAGAGGTGTATTGGAAGGGTATGAAGCGTTATATCCGAGATTATGTGGCTCGTTGTGCAGTTTGTCAACAAAATAAATATATGGCCTTGTCCCCGCAAGGTTTACTTCAACCCCTACCGATTCCAGACTTAGTGTGGGCAGACATTTCCATGGATTTTGTGGAGGGACTACCTAAGTCAGATGGGTGGGACACGATATTGGTGGTGGTTGATCGACTAAGCAAGTACGGCCATTTCATCTGCCTCAAACATCCTTTTACTGCCCAGGTGGTAGCACGGGTGTTTACTCGAGAGATCATTCGCCTACACGGCGTACCTCAATCAATTGTTTCTGATCGAGATCGAGTTTTCATGAGCAAATTTTGGGAGGAACTATTCAAAGCACAGGGAACGGTGCTGAAGCGGAGTTCTTCTTATCACCCGCAGACGGATGGTCAAACCGAGGTGGTGAATCGGTGTTTGGAGACGTACTTAAGGTGCTTTGTCTCTGGTAAGCCTCGTTCATGGAGTTTTTGGCTGCCTTGGGCGGAGTTCTGGTACAACACTTCCTTCCATACGGCCTCCAAACATACTCCTTTCCAGATTGTGTACGGGCGTGACCCGCCCCCTGTGTTGCCGTTTGAGAAAGGGGTTACTGTGGTTTCATCTGTGGAGCAGTCCTTAATCGATCGGGATGCTGTTATACATCAACTGAAGTTATACCTTCAACAAGCTCAACAGCAAATGAAGCAGACAGCTGATGGTAAACGTCGAGATATACAGTTTGGGGTGGGGGAGTTGGTGTATCTCAAGCTGAAACCGTATCGCCAACAATCGGTAGCCACTAGAATCTCTGCTAAACTTTCTCCTCGCTACTACGGGCCGTTTGAGGTTATCGAAAGAGTGGGCCAAGTAGCCTATAAACTGAAGCTACCATCGGGGGCCGCCATCCATCCAGTCTTCCATGTATCCCAGTTGCGAAGGGCCGTTGGCGCGGTTCAGACCATCACCAAGTTACCATCTCAGTTGGCCGAAAATGGCCAGTTCTTAGTGGCACCCGAAGCAGTGTTACAGGTTCGTCCCAATTCGATCACCGGGTCTGGGTTGGAAGTTCTGATCAAGTGGAAAGATTCTCCCGAGTTTGAAGCAACGTGGGAGCCTTTTGACAGCATTAAGCTGCAGTTTCCGGAGTTCCACCTTGAGGACAAGGTGGTTTTCGGGGAGGGGGGTAATGATAGACCCCCTATTAAGTTCACATACATGAGAAAGAAGAAGGGAGCAGGGACGGAGCAGGGGAATTAATTCTGGCTTGTGTAGGGTTGTTACATTGCTGTTGGTTGTTATTTTTGAGTCTTTATTTTGATATTGTGAGTCAGGGTCAGTTTGGTCATTTTAGTCAGGGAAGGGGGGGAATAAATGTAAATTGGGAAATTAGAAACCATTCATTCAGAAACATCTAGAATCGGTAGGAGAGCACCTGGGTCTCTCGAATTGCCCAGGACTTCAGTTCATTTCTTTTCCATTTTCAGTGAATAACAATTACATTTCTAAGCTTATATTCTCTGTCCTACTAACAATTTACAGTTACATAGCTGAGTACTGAGACTCCTTGCTTTCTAGAGCTAATTCTAGCTCTATTGACATTCACAGAACTATTTTGCAGCCTCAATCCGTGGTTGAGCAGACAACAGGCAGGTGTGGATTTCTTCATTTTGGCAGCTCACTCGGCCAATACATCAGGTACCTATCAAATTCTCTTGTATTTTGTTAGGTCCTTGGCCATTATAAAGAGATTGGGAGAAAATGATGTTTTGAATAGTGGTTTTTTGGAGAATGTGTAGTAAAAAAATAGAAAAAAGTTTATGATTTACTTGCAGAATATTATATTGTGTGAATGTGTGTTTGAAAATGAGTATGAGAAATATAGAGTTTTGTTTAATGTGAGTCAAACAAGGGCTAGATGTTTCTTATCTAAATTATATGAGTTTAAACCCTATATAAAGGGGTTTATGCTTTGTAATTAGACATTACTTTGATGTGAAATAAATTGATAATCTCTCTCCCCAAATTCTTTCTATTCTCTACCTTTTCTTCCCTCTATTCCTCTTTCCTTTCTCGATCTTGATCTTGTTCTTGTTTGTTTCACCCTACGGCAATTTCGCATTGGAGTATGACAATGCTTAATTAGATGAAGCACTTAAGGCTGCATTGTGGCGGTTTTGTCTCGAGTATCTTCTTTCCTATGCATCAACCCTTTAGGAAAGAATAATAACAAACATCTATTTTTCTCTTAAGATTCTTTATTAACTTCTTTTGTCTTACTCATGAAAGTGCTTATAATTATTGGAAAAACGGAACTGTAAAAATCTTGTATTAGCACAAGGAATTGCATTTTGTTGTCTGCAAGGAAGGCATGGAAACTAATCGTATGAAGAATTAGGGGAGCTCCTTTATATCTGTTATTTGTTATTGCAGGTTAGTCTATCATGCTAGTGCATCGTGCTCTCATATAGATTTCATTGTAGTTTTGTAGGTAAATTGCACGGATTGTTGCTTTTTGGAGTTTCGTGTCGCTACTTGATGAAAAGGAAATATCATCTCCCTTAGTGAGATCATATTTTTTAGAGATGATTTGTAGATTCGATTGTCGTTATATGATCGATTTCGTTATTTGGTTAGGAAAAAAATCATCCTCCTTGGCTAAGAATTTGTAGTCTATCTCACCCGAGTCAAGTTCTGTGAGTCATTGAGAAATGATGAGAATCCTAGAAGATATATGGAAGACTTTTTAAATTGGATACGTAATTAGGGTTTTAGATTTTCTAAAATTTTAATAGGTTTTCTAGTGTTTTGTTAGATTTTTTTCTTATCTAAATTAGACTAATTTAAACCCTTTATAAAGGGGCTTATGCTTTGCAATAAAACACTACTTTGATGTGAATTAAATTGATATTCTATCCCCCCAAATTTTCTCTATTCTTTCCTTTTTCTTCTCTCTATTCCTTTTTCCTTTCTTGTTCTTGATCTTGTTTGTTGCACCCTAGTTTCGTATTGGAGGATGACAATGCTTATTTAGATGATGCAAGTACTTATGGTTGCACTACTTATCAAAAAAAAAAAAAGTACTTGTGGTTGCACTGCAGCTGTTTCGTATCAAATGTCTTTTTTCCTATGCATCAACCCTCTATGAAAGAATGACAACATTGTCTCTTTTCCTTGTAAGATTCTTCATTAAGGATGTGTTTAATTGCCTTTATTTTCCGTGGAAATGTCATTTTTCCACCAAAATTCCTACTTTTAGGGTGTTCGATTGACATTTTTTTTCCATGAAAAATATTTTTCAAAAGTTAGTCACGTGATCATGTTTTCCTCAAAAACAAGGAAAACATTTTCTTTTTGTGAGGTAGTTTTTTATTTTCCTGTCAATTCACACTTCTCAAAAACTCAACTTTACGAAGAAGTGCAACATTTTCTAAATTGAAAATTAAATCAATGAAATACATTTAATCGACAATATCTATGTAAATAAGTTTTAGGCAATTTAATTGTCTAGAACTTATTTTCTTTCTATGTTTGCAATCAAACGTACCCTAACTTCTTTTGTCTTACACATGAAATTTCTTATAATTATTGAAAAAATGGAACAGTAAAATCCTGTATTAGCACGAGGAACTGCATTTTGTTGTCCGTGAGGAAAACGTGGAAACTAATATTATGAAGAATTAGGGGAACTCCTTTATATCTGTTATTTGTTACTTCATGAGCTAATATAACGTAGTAGTTCTTGATCATTGATATATTTATCAAGTATATGGTTTATATCATTTTCTCTTGGCATATTCTTGTGCAAGATTACATTGTTGCATCATGGCGGGTAATAAGATTGTCTTAATAAAAATATGATATAGTGTTCAAAGCTTAATTGTATATTGTTATGCGGTCATATATATTATGACTAGATATTTTGTCATTGTGCTAGCTTTTTTTCTCCTCTTTCCTCTCCAATCTACCAAATATATTCCACTAAAGGTTTGGTTGAGAGAGATTTTTTGAAATTCATGTTTCCCCAAAATCATTTTCAACCACACATTTTATAGGATCTAGAGGTGTCAAGACGGACGGGCCGGCCATGACCCGTAAAAACCGGCCCGTGAAAACCGGGACCGCGGGCCGACCCGTGACCCGCGCGGGCTGTTCACGGGCCAAGGAGGTGTAACCCGCGGNAGCGGGCGGGCCTGGGTTGTAGTCCAAAATTGTTGGCCGACCTGTAACCGGCCCGGAACCCGCAGCGGGCGGGCTTTTTTTCACGCGGGCCGTTACCGAGCTCACATGTTGGCGGGCCGACCCGGCCCGGACCACCCGGATTGACACCTCTAATAGGATCTATAATTTTTCCTACTACTTAAAACACATGTTCTCCAAAAAAAAAAAAAAAAAAAAATTTCACTTGAAAAAATCTCTCCCAAACAAACCCTAATCATAGAGTTCTATGTATTCAATCCTTGACAGTACACACAGTGAGTGGACGGAACATCTATCCTTTCTGCTTTTGTATTTTGCAGCACAGGAAACTTCAGATTCTTGCAAATGGCTACTCTTCTCCCTTTCTTGGTGTAAATATTTACTGTGTCATATCTACCTTAGTAGGTTTTAACTTCTTTCTTGGTCTTTAAAGGAGTAGAGTCCAACAAATTGTTGGTGCTGCAAATAGTCAGCTAAGGCGCTCTGGTAGTGTGTTGCTATCTCCTGTGGACTGTAATAGTAGCAGTGCTTTTACAGATGCTCCTATATGCAGAAGTGCCATGATTGTAAGTAACTTTGTAGAAGGTTTTGCCTGATTTTAAGATTGGTGTTAGACTGTTTATGGCATGACTGTATTTTTCGTGTGCATCAGAAATGCTGTTCTTTCTCAATGGACCCTTTTTTTTTTATTAAACCTCCATTTGGCAAATTTATAAATTGTTTATATAGAGGAATATTAGTGTTTCCCACAAAATTTATGGATAATAAATGAGCAGTAGTTATGAGTATGTGGTTGAATTTATAAACCATTTATATGAAGGCCAAGTTTTCTCTGAGAAGTTTTGCGTATATGACGAAAATAGGGTAAAACACATGAATGATCATTGAACTTTGCCCTAAATTTCTTGTTGGTCACTGATCTTCAATTTGTTCCAAATTGTCGCCGAAATTTGGATGTCAGTCTAATAGAGTTACTTAACTGAAAACATTTTAAAAGTTTCAGTGACTAGTTTGAAACAAATTGAAGTTCGATGACGAACATGAACCTTAGGACAAAGTTTAGTGACTATTTGCATTTTTTTACCCTAAGATAATGTTTGTTTTGTTGATAATAGCTTCAGATTGAAAATTGTCACTAAATACTTCTGGTTTTGATTTCCAGGATGAAGCTCATGGTTCTGTAAATAGGAATGGTGACATGACATGCACAGTTCCTTATAAGTACAATGATGGTGTTCCAGCACCCAACAAAATGACAACTTATGTAGATATTGTTGGACAGTCTAATTTTTCTTGTCCAGTAAAAGATGAAACTATTCCTGAAGATGGGAACTTATGCTCCAAATTATCTTTAGTAACAATAAATGGAGATGTACATTCGGGGATTCCATATTCTGTTGCTAAGACATCCAAAGTTTCATCATCTAATCATCTGGGCATTGAATTGTGCTGGGAGGAACAGTATAAAGATATTCCAGATGAACCATTTACAGAAGGTTCACAGTCGTATGATTATCAAGGATCAAAGGATTCCTGTGCTTCAAGTCAGAGGGATTGTTTTCTTCAACAACCTTGTCCTGCAAGCATTTCAGAGGAATTGGGCATTCCTACTTCGTTGCATAAGAAGTCTCAAATTTTAAGTGAACTCAGTGCAGATCATACTGTTGTTAATAATTATGAGGATGATGCTTCTTTACCATTTAGATGTGTAAATTCGGTATTGAATGATGGATGTCATGAGATGAAGTTCCAAAATTTTGCCAAATCAGATAGAATTTATAGAAATTCTAGCTCATTTTCCAATGAAGAAATAGTAGAGCACTTGCGAAGAATTGATGATAATAGCCTGACCAATAATGAGAAAAGTTCTGCTTTAGATGCCGTGGAGAGCAGTATAATATTAAATATTATGGAAATGGGTTTTGATTCTTTTGATGATTCAATGACATTACCTAATGGTTCATCTGAGTTGCTTGATGAAACTGATGATCTGCTTGGTTCTTCCTGGGATTCCATTAATGGTAACCAGTCAGGGTTCTCATTTCTGGAACAGGGAAATCAAGTGGCTGGATATGTCCTTACCGATTTTAGGGATAGAAGGGAGCAGTACTTGTGCAAGCCCCAGTATCGAGGTAAATTGAAACCTGTTTTAAATTTTGTTTCTATTGTCGCTTGGCATTTGGCCAAGCAAGTCTTAGTCCCTATCATTGATAGTTCGTCATATTTCTGTTGGTACTAACTTGCAATTTCAATTATTTTCCTCTTTAAGTCTTGGTTAAATTGGTTTCCCCTCCATGGTTGTTACATATTTCTTTCCTAACTGTTAGTTTTCACTTGGATAACTTGTTTCTACTCTGCATTCATTCAACTTCTTCTCGAAACGATATATAATTGTACTGAGAAAATATTCCTGTACTTTTTCCTTTTTGCAAGATATAATCTTGATTTGTTATAAATCCTTCTTTCCTATCGGGTCAACTTTCTGTTAATACGAGCTGCTTTATACTGTTTTTACCTAATATCTTCGAATTGGAAACTTGATCATTGGAGAAGAATTTTCCAAGCTTAGTGATCTTTTTCTCACGCACATGATACATTCATGCATACATGTGTGTTTGATACTTGTGTCTATTTTCACATGTATGGCTGTTTTATTTAACTCTATTCTTGATTTGGTAGCCTGTTTCATCATGCCTTGGTTTGGGACTATTATTTGAAATTCACATCTAGACCTTTTTTTCTCTTTTTATTGATAAGGAATAGAATTAATTATGTCACATAAGACACTTTCAAGAAGAGGACAAGGAATCCTCTACAGCAAATTGGATTGACTATTTTACTTTTGCTGTTGATGAGAAGGTGCATTTTACTTTCAGCACAAACATTTTCCCCTAAAAAACCAAAATTATGCACGTTTATTGCAAGGAGCACTATGAAAGTAAAAACCATGAATTTTTGGTCATGAAAATTGACCTTGCTCAAAGAAATGTTCAGATTTTGTTTACAGGAGACTAGTTATTTCTTTTACCTTTGTGATGAACTTATTTTTTCGGTCTGTTCTTTCCGTATTGCCAATTTTGTAAATTTGTTTCGTCATTCTCTCTTCTGACAGCAACTAGGCCTCGAAGTTTGGCTCTGCCTGGGTTTTCAGTGCCCTACAGAGATCCACCTCCTGGGTTTTCTTCATGTGAGAGAATGGGCTCCTTGCCCTGTGCCTCACCTGGTGCGTCTTTATGCCACAGCCTCTCTCTCTCATTATAATTGTTGATCATAGCTATGTACACTCTTTATTGTGATGTTTGCAGGAAGTTGTTTTGTTAATGCGTCCCATACTTTGCTTCAAATGCCTTCAGCGGGATCTAGCAGTGGTGCTGGTGATGTTAATTCCATTGATTCTGCCTTACTAAGCAGTAGTAAAGGTAAACCAGCTAACGGGCTGAAAAACTCAGGCTTGGAAATGAGGCTTGCTCGTACTCTACAGCTGAGTAAGGACGATGCCTTTTGGTTTCTGATGCAACAACCAGCATCAGCAAATCAATCCTCAAATATTTCTCATAGGTTTACACCCCAAACTCCATATGCCCAGCAAGAAATGAGTTATTCTTCTTGTATGGAGATTGGACTATCTACTCTAGATGATATACACGGCTTGCCTTCAAGGATAGTGGATCAACATCAAAGCCACAATCCATCTTCCTTCAGCCAACTGTCACGGCAGAAATATTCAAATGGGCACAGCTTAAATACTAATGGCTACCTTCAGAGTTTGGATGAGGTTCGACGTAGGAATGCAGTGGACATGATAGAACTCCAGAGAAACAAGAGATTAGGAGTCAGCAAGTACTTTCTTGGGTACGAGGATTTAAGTTTCAGCCCAGATGATTTATACTCCAGAGTATTTGGGATGTAATTCTCATTACTTGATGAAATGAACCTATACTTTTGTCAAACTCAATTGTCTATGCTCGAGTAGAAGATGGAAATTTTACTTTTTCAGTCAATGACTCTATTTCAGATGCCCTGATTATATAAGTAATTGATTTCTTGAATCACATATAAGCACAGCCAAATTTATAAAACGTTAGCGCTTGGTACGACAGGAGTATATTAGTTCCAAATCCAACTTCTTCTAAAGCAGGGGATATCCCTTGCGCTTGTTTTCAAATAGTATCTTAGATGCCTGCTGTGCTTATGAGGAACTTATTTTTTTGAATCACAAGCACAGCCAAATTTTTAAATCTTAGATACCTGCATAGTTTTCATTTCTAATTAAATTCCAGGATTAGCTTTATGCTGGCTAGTTGGATTTCATATTAATATACGAGGCTATTTTCAGTTATACTAAATTACCGATATAAATACGATAAAATCGTGGCTTACTAGTGTAAAATACCGAATAGAGTTTCAACTTATCAAAATTAAGATATAAGCACATGAAAATATGCATAAATTGTGATTTACTAAAACACAGAAATTATAAAGAAATGAAATGAAGTAATGTATGCGAATGTAAATCTCCTTAATATAGATTTCACCCTCTCCATTATTGTTAACATGATCAAATGAAGGTGTCTCCCAAGATATAACTCTTCTTCCTAAATTAATGTAGCACAATATTAATTTGGTTAGACAAATAAAAACTTGATTTCACTCTTCTAGACAGGATGATATCGAATTCTAAATTATCGAACAAGCAACTTAAAAATAATTTGAAAATTATTTTGACATAAATTGGAGAAGGAAAGAATCATAAATCATTTTAATTGAATTAATTTGAAGTGAAGAAATAAGAATTAGTACGGTCCAATTTATCGATTTCAACACATCTTTTTTCCAATAGTTGCATATTTTGCCACAAATTAATTTTACCCTTTAGACCGCACCATTTCAGATTGAGTCCTAATTTAGTGCTTGTTTGGGGGGAATTTTTGGGGGAAGAATTGATTTTGAATAGTGATATGATGGGAAATGTGTAGTTGAAAAAGAAGAAAAATTATTGATGTGATGTAAAATATTATTTTATTGAAGAATGTGTGGTTGAAAATGAGAATTGATTTACNTTATTGAAGAATGTGTGGTTGAAAATGAAAATTGATTTACTATAGAATTTTGAAAATCCACACTAAACAGGGCTTTAATGGTCTAGATGACACCCTATGAAATAGATCATGAAAATTCATTTGTACACATCTAGAAAATGAAGAGCTGTACTGATCATCGTACCTATTTGAGACTTATTGCAGTTTACATATTTTAATTTTTATGTACCCAAATATTCCAGTAATCACCCACATGAATGGAATAAGTCGACTCAAAACAATGAAAATGAATAAAAGTAATATATTAAAGATCATCAGGATAAGTAGCAAACCTTCTTTAGTAAGAATCTATCAGACTCACTTGATTAATCAGTGAATGAAACGTTTTGAACTGTCGACTGTTATTGTAAGTCTAGACAATAAATCAATCACAATATCACTCATATCAACCTTTGATTCTCTATTGTGCTCATTATTTCGACCCCGAAATTCTTTAGGTTTAGCAAGTGCACTTGAGAATTCGCCCAAATAAAATTTTCATAGACACGGCCAAGTTCGCACTCATATAGGTGAAACCTTTTTGTAAACAAATTCGATAGGTTATTCTTTGATAAAATAATTAGTATTGTTCAATTTGAAAGTAATTATCGAATGGTATTATATTTATGATGTATATGTCAAGACTTAAAATTATGCACAATATTCTGTTCCATATATATGTTTAAATCATATAACAAGCACAAATTATCACTGATTAGAAAATCCTTCGAAAATTTTTGAAGCCATCATGCTTCCTTCTAGCTTATTTTGATCTCTAATTTAATTTTCGTTTCTCAAGTTGTTAGGAGGATTTCCACAAAACAACTACACTCTTATTTATAAAACATATTTACCACATTGGATATCCATTTTCAACATCATGCACTTCTTAAGTTTAATGAGATATTCAGTGTAGTTTATCATTTCAAAGATTTCAAATTCTAATTTAAAGTAAGCACCACCACCCTCCACAAATCCTAGGGTGCATCTAAACTTTAATATAGAATATTGTGCAAACAAAATTCCTACCCCACAATTTAGGGTAGAACCTAGTTTAGTAACACAATATTCATCTAACTATGTAAAGTTCTATCATATCGTTAATTTTGCATCCTCATTTACATTCCGTGGATGTAAATTCAAAATTTGCTCCAATAAGAAGATCTAAAAAATTTGGATACAAGTGGATTGATAGATTTTTGCCTCTTGTGGGTCCCATAATAGATCTAAAAAAAGATGTAATGTGTCATCTCTTAGAAAAGTATGTTAAAGACCACTGATTTTCTTCGTGGTCCACAAATAAATGATACTACACAGAATTTCGGTTACTCTGGTTGTGAAGTTTGAAACCAGTGTTAGTTTTTTCGCAAAATCCACAAATGTTCATACACTGTACTCATGGTAACTGTTGTACTGTTGGCTTTCATTTCGATAACCAGGAGTTTATAATATATCTTCCTCTATGAACCAAATTTTTGATGCCAAGTTTCTGAAGAGTCCGTTTCACAATTTCACGAGTGTTCCCACAGTCAATGAATCTCATTGTCACACCACTTTGGTTGTTTCTAAAGAAACTAGAGTATTTGTTGGAATCTTGTTCAAATTATGGTTGAATGAATTAAAAGGATCGTGAATGGATGAATTGAAAAAAAAAGAAGAAAAAATTTATTTGGCGCCATAAAAATGGCCTATGTGACCACATAGGCATGCGGTTGTATAGGCACCTGCAGGGAGTTTTGGGGCGCCAGGTGCTATAACTATGCGACAACATAGTTCAAGTTTTTTGACCGTTTGCTAGATGTTTTCAAAAAATTTTGGTGGTTTATTAGTGAATCAATGCACCTATTCACTTGAGTTTGGAACCATTTTGCATGGGATGTTTGAAAATTATAAATACACGATAGTTTTCATTCCAAAATATAATTAAAAATTCATTCCATTATTCATCCAAAAACCTTGAAGAAATTTTGTCACTTTACATAATCAAATTTCCATTTTTTACTTGTTCACCTTGAAGAAACATTTTGCTTTTGGTGTTCTTCAATTAGGCTTGATTAATCCTACAAACTATTTGCCAATTTCAACCCTTAAAAGCATTGTGGAGGAGGCAAATATCGTTTGAGGATAACGATAAATTTTTCGTGTTCAAGTCTTCATCCTTCTACATATTCATCTTCTTCGTTATTTTTTGTCTCCTTCGCTGCATCTTATTCTTTTTTATAACAGTATTGTGCTGAAAAATTTCGTGTATGAAGTGACAAACAAAGCTAGGAAATCCTTCAAATTACCTTTAAAATTCTGTAGAAATTTCGATAGAGTAACGGTAGGAAATTGACTCCAAATAAATCCTAAAAAATGTGCAGTATAGCAGTTTACGTTTTATTAACGAGCCTAATCTTTTCATTTTGCTCTAGTACATTGGTTCACATTTTTATACACTCGCTCTAAATTGATGCATGCACTCGCTCTAAATCGTTTGTTTGAATGTATGTTTTGATATTCAAAGGTTGCGATCATCTTATTTTTTGATGGTTGATATTGAGCCTGTTGGGATTCAGTGGCCAAGATGCATTCTCAAACCTATATATATTGTGCTATTTGTCATTGCTGTACCTCTCTAAAATACAAAAATGTTCCTC